CCATTTTTTCTTTGTAGCATTTTTGTATATGTCTTGCTTAGGAAGCCTTCCTTCCAGGATTATAAAAATTGTCCCCTGTGTTTTCCTCTAGTTATTTATTTTTGGTTGTTTTGAGACCAGGTCTCACTATGTTGCGCAGGCTAGACTCAAACTCCTAGGCTAAGGATCTACCCACCTCAGCCTCCCGAGTGAGCTGGGACTATAGGTGTGTGCCGCTATCCTGGCTCTTCTAATTATTTTTTAAATTTTGTTTTATCTATTTACATCTTTAATCCAGAATTTATTTCATTATATAGTGAAAGGTAGAGATCTAATTTTATTTTTTTTCCTGTGGATGATTACTTGTTCCAATATGATTTACTTAATACATCTTTTCCTCACTGAATTAAAATCTACCTTTACTGTGAATTAAATACTCATATATATATACTAGATCTGTTTCCACACTCTTTTTCTGCTTTATTAAGCTTTTGACTCTATGTATTTGCTCTATATAGCAAAATATATATCGCTTCCTCTACAAAAGCATACAGTTGGTTCTCATTATCTGTGGTAGTTATGCTCTGTAAAGTCCCTGAGAACATGGAACTAGTGAATACTGAGTCATGGCCTTTAGGGGAGATACAGAGTAGGCTCTTGCAAGCCTTTGCCACATCAACCAGTCAGTTCACAACTTTGTTTTTTGTATGTTTGTGTTTAAAGATACCTTATTTAATATATATTATTGATTCATTAAGATTAAATTCACAGTCAGCAGCACTATAACTCATGCCTGAACAAAATGTCTCTAACACACATATTTTCTCTGTAAGGCATATCACGGCCTTTCACTTTTAGGAACACCAGACAGCACTTCAACAGTACACACGGGGGCTTTTTAAAAAATTAACAAATTTTATTTTTTAGAAAAGTTTTGGGTTCACAGCAACATTGAGTGGGGAAAGCACAGAGAGTTCTCATATGCCCTCTGACCCCACACATGCACAACCTCCCTCGAGGGCCATTTTAAACAGCAAAACCACCATCGAAAAGCACAAAAGTGTGAAAAACATGGCACTAAATAGATAATGAAAAGGACACTTGTTTACAGTATGAAAAATGAAACAAAAAGGCAGAACATTGTCTCGTTCCACACTACCTGGGATTTACTGCTCTGTGGATGACTGCAAAAGCCCTGCGAGTATTGATTTGGAGGTAACAAATATATTTTAGGGAGTAGGTGAATTCACAAATAGGAATCTATGAATAATGAGGATTGATTGTACTGTTTAAACTATGGTAGATTTATAGAATGCTTTAGTATCTGGTAAAGCAAATCCCTTATTTCTTTTTCAAGAATTTACTGTTACAACTCTTAAAATTCAATAATAGAAAGACAACCTGATTAAAAATGGGCAAAGGGTTTGAATAGACATTTCTCCAAAGAAGATACACAGATGACCAATATGCACATGAAAAGATGCTCAAATTCATTAGCAATCAGGAAATGCACATCAAAACCACAATGAGATGCCACCATAGCCTCGAGAATGGCTATAATCAAAAAGACAGTAACAGTTGTTGGCAAGGACATGGAGAACGTGGAACCCCCATACACTGCTGGTGGTAATGTAAAAAGGTGCAGCTGCCTTGGAAAACAGTTTGGCAGTTTCTCGAAAAGTTAAACATAGAGTTAACCATATGACCTAATAATTCCACTTCTAGGTATATCCTCGAGAGACCTGAAAATGTGTCCATACAAAAACTTGTACACAGATGTTCATAGGAGCACTATTCAGAATAGCCACAAAATAGAAACAATCCAAATGTCCATCCACTGATGAATGAATAAACAAAATGTGGTATATCCATACAAGGGAATATTGCTCAGCAATGAAAAAAGAAAACTACTGATACATGCTACAACAAGGAGAAACCTTGAAAACGTTATGCTAAACATTATGCAATATATGGCCTGACACAAAAAGCCGCGTATTGTATGATTCCGTTTTTGTGAACTGTCAGAATAGGCAAACCCATAGAGAATGGAAATAGATTAGTAGTTGCTTAGGGCTGGGGAGAGGAGTTGGAATGGGAAGTGACTGCTAGTGGGTACAGGGATTCTTTTTGGAGTAATGAAAATGTTTTAAAATTAAGACAGTAGTGATGGTTGTACGACTGTGAATATACTAAAACTGACTGTATTGTGCCTTTTAAATGGGAAAACTTTACAGTATGTGAATTTCATTTCAATAAAGCTGTTTTTTAAAAATCTATTGTCTACACAGAGAAAGTAGAATGATACTGCTTCCCTCCAGCCCTGCCTTCCTCATGCCCTGCGTGGAGACAGCCTCGAGCCTCCTGGTAGCCCATGAGCAGGCAGAGGGGAGGGCCCTCAGGCCCATCGTTTGCCCAGAGTCTATCACATACAGCTCTCACTGTGTTCTCTGACTGTTCCTGTGCCTGAGGGGAGTGTCCTCCATAGATTTTAAGCGGTGACTATACTTCATAATTCATTTATATTAGCAGCATGCCTTCTGGCACTTAAATATTTCCATATTCAATTTGAGCAGGGGACAGATAGCTTGTTACTATTCTACTCATTCGCTCTTCTAGATGAACTTTAGAATCCAGTTGTCACAGCCCCACCCCACCCCTGTCTTCACTAATAAGAAACCCTGATGTGCTTCTAAGTTGTATTAAATTTATATATAGTGTATGGTTTGGGGGAGACTTTATATTTATTCTTCCCCCTGCCCCAGGATCATAGTATGGTGCATTTCTTTATTTATTCAGATCTTATTTTATGTCTTTCAGTAAAATTTTATAGTTTTGCCTTTCTTACTAAATGTATAGCTAGTTATTATGAATAAGATCATTTTCCATTTCAGCTTTTAACTGATTATGGCTAGTGGTGTAAAAAAGCTATTGATTTTTTATGTATCTAGATATCCGTACTTGTATTCTACCACCTTATTAAATTCTCTTATTAGTACTAACACTTGTACACTTGAGTTTCTTAGACTTCCAGGAAATACCACCCCACGTTTTTCTCTTACTTTCTTATTCATGCTTTCTTTTTCTTTCTTGATTTTCCTTCACTAGGTTTTCTTCCTCCCCCTGCTTTTTAAGCCATCTCCACCTGGAAACCCCAGCACAGTCTGCCTGGGGTGCCTCTGCAGCCACTGTTTCCTTACCCCCACCCTCCCATGCCTGGCACCCCCCATGCTCTTCTTGCCTCTCTCTGGCACCTCTGGAACTTCCTGTCACCTTTAACTTTCAGTTTGTTCATTCGTAAAACGAGAAGAGTGGTGCCTCCTCAGTAACCGATGTAAGGTGACAGTGTCTAGCATAGGGCCTGGCACTTCATGCATTAGCCTCCTTCCCCCTCCCCCTTCTACCCCAAGTACTTTGGAAACTGAAATGTTGTATAACTATGACATGTCGTTATGATTATTTATACCTCGTTGTGTGTTCATCACCATAGTTCTTGTATATTGGCAAGAATTCGTCGTATTTGGCCCCTAATAAGAAACATTTGAAAATATTGGAGAAGACAAAAAATGTACACCTTTGCAACCCCAGGGTGCCACTGAAACAGGTGGCACTAAAGGATCTTCCACTGGCCCTGGAGGCGCATGGTGAGCGCTGGTGGGAGGAGAGGCCCCTCCCGGGAGCGGGAGCGGCTGCGACAGTGTCCTCTGGTTCGTAATCTGCCCGCAGGCTGAGAGGGGCTGAGAAGGGTAGGTGGCAGCTGCCCCAAGGAATCCCAGGGGCTGTGCGCAGGAGAGGGAGGATGCTCAGGAGACCGGTGGCCGAGAGCAAATGCAGAACTGCCCTGCCGACGACTCCCTACGCCCCTACGCCCCGCTCCCACTGCCTTAGAGAAAACAAGGATAAAGTACTTACTGCCAACTACAGAAAACGTTTTGTGGTTAAGAATCAGGTTTCCCAAGTGTGTTCATTGGTTTAAAGAATTTATTTCGTTTCAGCCACATTTTAGTGGTCTGTTGTCTTTTGTTCTAGGCTCTCTCCTGATTTGGTTTCCATCAGGTTTTAATCAGAACCATCTTCAGAAACATTTTGGATTCAAAATAGAGTGAAAAACAAACACATCTTTCAGAGAACACAGATGAAGCCCAGAATCGAGCAGAAAGTAAACAAGAATTAATGGAATAACATTATGGACAGGATAGCATCAGAGGGAAGGAACAGAGAGAAACTGGGATAGGCTGTGCAGAAAGAGAACCCTGTCAGGGAAGGAGCCCACCTGGGGAGAGTGTCAGGGAGCTGGCACTCATGTGAGCGTCCGGTGGGGGTTCTTCCATTTCTGACCAACTCTGGTCTAGACCGTGGGCTAGAAATGATGATTAGTAGCCCCGCCCCCCAGAGCTGGGATAGAGGCTGTCTGTGGGCAGGTGCAACACACTTCTCTCCAACAATGGCCCCTGAAAAGTGCTCTCCTCTCCATCCCTTCTCCTTTCTGTGCCCTTTTCTCACTCCTCCTTCCCACCGTCATCCTGGCTCCCATGTGCTTGTGAACCAAGAGTCTAGGTGCACACCCAGAGTGTGTGAGAAGACCTGCGTTAGGTCAGTGGTGGTGGGGTCACCCTTTCTATCTGCCCCACCTCCACGTGCTGTAGACATTTCAGACGTGTGGGCCACCAGTTAGATGTCGGGAGAACTACATCTTCAGCCCCATGTTGCTGAAGTTTTTCAAGCTGTTACACTTTATTTGTTGGTTTGATTTGGGAAATACATGTACATGTTAAAAGCTATTTTCCGCAAAGTATCAAAAAGTATACAGAAAGCACCCTTCTTTCCCGCCCTGTCTCTGGGCCCTCTGCTCCCTCCTCAGAGGGTGCTTATTTCATATGTACCTTTCTAGAGGTCTCCAGTGCTTGTCATGGTTAGCTTTTAAAAGTTACCATGACGTCTTTCTACTTGCATTGCCGAAGCCGCTCGATTTATTAGCTGTGCTCTTCCTGTGTCTGCCTTCTCCATGTCCCTTCCTCTCTCAGACTTTGACCTCTGGGGGACAAACGACAGTGAGCAGAATGAGTCAGAGCCTGTCCCTGCCAACTGCACTGGCTGTGCCCAGAAACTATCCCTGAAGGTAGTGCTCCTAGAAGATGCCCCAAAGAAATTTGAGAGGCTCCATCCTCTGGTGATCAAGGTAGGCAAGAGGCCCGATTCTCACCCTGTTTAAAGGCTAGATCAAGCTCTGCAAAATTTCTGACAAGTAACTCTGCGTTGTTTTGTTTGCTTTGTTTGCTGCCTTGCCAAGACGGGACAGCCCCTGTTGTCTGAGGAGATTCAGCACTTTTTGTGCCAGTACCCTGAGGTGACAGAAGGCTTCACAGAAGGGTTTTTCACCAAGTGGTGGCGTTGCTTTCCTGAAAGGTGGTTCCCATTTCCTTACCCATGGTGAGTGTGAAAAGGGACACTCAGTTTGTGTGTGGGGAAGGGGCAGACCGGTAATACCGGCAAAACAGTAACAGCAACCACGGGGACTGCCACGTGCCCAGCATGGTGTAAGCACTGACAGACACCCTCCGAGTCAAATGCCAGGAGCTCACTGATGAACCAGTGAGGAGATACAAAGGGGATGGACAGAAAAGGTGTGTCACAAGGAGGGGGGCCATCATGGGGGGACACGAAGATTGCCTAATAGAATTTATTTCTAAGTATGTGTTTAGCAGTTTATGTAGAATGAGGCCTAAGCGTCGAGGGTGGAAGAGAGAGAGTGAAGAATAGAATTGCATTTCCTGGCACTTGTTTGTGCCAGGTGATACACCTTGGTGTTTAGTGTCTGTTGCTCATTGATAACACTCATAATAGCTCTGGGAAGTAGGAATGATTATTGCCATTTTTCAGATCGGAAAAGTAGAAATCAGACAGGTTAAGTGACTTGCCCAAGGTCACCCAGCCAGGATTGAAACCCAGATTTGTTTTCCTCTTCCTTCCTGTGTCCTACAGAAGACACGGTCCATTCTTCGGAATTAATAGTGCTCTCCAGCAAGGAAAGGAAAGCCAGTTTCCATCTTAGAACTGTTCCAAAAGAGAATTAAAGTGTCTTTTCAGGCTTTTTGTTAGATAATTTCTCCATGCTTCCACCTTTCTTTAATGTGCCATTTATTTGCATGGCAGAATTCCAAGTTTGACAAGCTAATCAGGCTTCACACTGCATGCCATTCTGCCTCAAAAGAAGGGTCATGGTTTTTGTTCCCTCCTCCTCCCTCCTCTTCTCTTCCCTTCCCCCTCCTGGCCTGCTATTACTTCAGTCTCTTTTCCAAGACAGAATGACTGGATTGCTTCTCTCCTTCCTCTATATGTTGTTTTAGCTGCACTTTATAAACACTCCACCCACATGTACAAATCGTGGCTGTAGAGTTTATGCCTGTGCGTGTACACGTTATAATTCATTGGCTTGACACAGCTGTTCCTCATAGACCTAGTACTGAAGATACTCTGCTGATATTTTCCCCTCTTTACCCACCACCCACAGTTCCCCCACCCTTGCTCAGCTCTCTATTAGTCATGCAAATAGGCTGCCTTGCCCAGTTTAATAACCTTTGTTGTTTCAAACTTTTACAGGAGAAGACCTCTGAATAGATCACAAATCTTACGTGAGCTTTTTCCTGTTTTCACTGACCTGCCATTTCCAAAAGATGCCTCTTTAAAAAAGTGCTTCCTTCTTCACCCAGAACCTGTTGTGGGGAGTAAGGTAGGAAATTTTGAGAGGACTTGGATCTAGAATTATCCTCATTTGTGACCCGGACTGATGTTATAATCGAGGCCTTCCCCGTGTATCAGCTTAGAGGGTGAATTGAGAGACACTCACGTAATCTAAACTTCTCCCCTCCTGCTGCCAGGCCCACTCTGTTATGAAGGCATGTTTCCAGAAAGTCTAGTCTGCAAATCTATCTCCGCCCTCAATACCTGGGGGCAAACTGCTTTACCTTAAAAGAAGTGGAATCCTAAAATTTGAACTAACTTGAGTGTACAGTTAGTCTGACTTTCCTACATCAAATTAGAAAGTAAGCAAGGCATAAATGAATGGCATGTAAATAAATAGTCTACCTTCTTCATTTTGTAGATAGGGAAACTGAGCTCCAGAGAGATTAAGTGATTTGCCCAAGGATACCAAGCAAGTTGATAGAAGGACTCCCCTGACCCCCACGTCCAGGTTGGCTTTCCCCAGAAATATTCATAAATAAGAGACTTCAGGTAGAAAACTGCAAAGGCAAAAAGCTTGGGAGCCTGCGGGGATTTGATAGGCACATGCTAGAGGCAGGCAGCCCAGCTGGGCTGGAAAAGCCCCTTCTGCTCCCATCATTTCCCACCTCAGTCCAGGGCCAGGTGTCCAGAGCCCACATTTACTTCTCTGGGGGCCAGTGGACTGGGAGAGCTGTTCAGTGTTTGTGTCTGTTTACTTTTCTCTGAATTGTTCCTTTGTTGAGTCTCATTTCTAAGGAAGGTTTTTGAGCCTGGATTGGTTTGGAAGAATTAAAAGGATGTATTTTCCTTTGTAAAAAAAATTAAATTTCCCAAACTGTGAACCCCTACCAGCTCTGGATTGTGGCTTCGATCTCCTGATACTATTGTTTGGCTCCAAATTTGCTGAATTGTGTTAAAGGAATTTGAAAGCCTATAAAAACAATCATTTTGTCTAGAAGTGAGAACCTCTGTCTGCCAGCACTGGGGTGGAGACGTTGGGTTCTTGCCTTAGATTTTACAGACGTTTATCCTGCTGTCTCCGGCTAGAATTCAGGGCCCTCGTATGATTTCATCTTCATAATTATGATATAATTCTGGGCGAGGGCCTTTATCTTTTTCTCGGTTTTCCCACTTGAATGCTGGAGTTAATTTCACCAGCCTGCTTAGCACCAGGGAGCCCAGCCAAAGGAGCAAGTACAAAGTTACTCAAATGCTTATCAAAGGCATCTTGTGGTTCTTGAGGATGTTTGGGGAAGGGCAGTGGCCCAAATAGGCAACAATCCTGAGAGTCTGGTTTCTTAGAGCATCTGTTCCCCCACCCTGGCCCAAGCTCTCCTTTCTCCCTGCCTTTGTCTCCCCACCCTGTTGTCCACAGCCTGAGCAAGTCATGTGTCTGTGGGCCCAGAATCCAAAGGCAGCCTTGGAGTGGAAGATGAGAAGTGGAGACTTGGTTGCACTGGGGGAAGAGGTGGGGAGCTCCAAGGCCCACTTCACCCACTGCACAGGGCTGCCTGGGGCTGGCCTGCGCCATCCTGCTGTCTGTGTCTTCCCATCTTAGGTGTGGAGGAAGGTGATACCACCCCCTCTCAGGCCCGTGGGAAAGAGGGATACATCCACTTGTTTTTGGTCCTCTAGAATTTTTTTCAAGACCAGATGTTAGGGCTTCTGCCAGTGTTAGTATAATATTAGGGCTCCTGACAGGTGATAGCTACTGCGTGTCACCACAGTAGCTAGTCCAATGGCTCTAGTGTTGCCTTGGAAACAGAATCATGGCCAGGGTCTATGGGAGCAGGAGAGAGACCAGGGGAGATGGGGTGAAAACTCCAGACTCTGGAAGCCCTGAGTGGTGAAGAGAAAACTAGGACATGGCCCTGGGAGTCGGACTTTTGACCCCCGCTTTATGCCAGCATATAAAGGGCTTCCCTGAAGGGCAGGAGCTAGGAGCGGGCAGGGAGGGGAGGCCCCAGGAGTTTTCTCTCACCATCGAAGTATGGAGAAAAGCCTGAGCAAGACCTACCTTCTTTTATCCCTGTTCCTGCCTTGTCCCAGCCCCCTCCCCAGGATGCACAGCTCCTCGCTTGGGCACGTAGGAGGTTGCACTTAGCGCTCGTTGCTGGCAGTAGCGTGCCCTCAGCAGCGCAGCGGCTATGTGTGCAGGTGCGTGTGCTGCTAGTCTCCTAGTCTCCCAATCACAGGCCGATCTTAGTATCATTAGTTTTCGTTGTTGTTGTTTTGGGGTTTTTTTTTTTTTGAGACAGAGTCTCACTCTGTCACCCTGGGTAGAGTGCAGTGGTGTCATCATAGCTCACAGCATCCTCAGACTCCTGGGCTCAAGGGATCCCCCTGCCTTAGCCACCTGAGTAGCTGGGACTACAGGCATGGGCTGTGACACCCAGCTAATTTTTCTATTTTTAGTAGAGATGGGGTCTCTCTCTTGCTCAGACTGGTCTCAAACTCCTGGGCTCAAAGAGTCCTCCCGCCTCGGCCTCCCAGAGTGCTAGGATTACAGGCATGAGCCACCATGCCTGGCCTCTCTTTTGCTTTTTTTGAGACAGGGTCTTGCTCTGTCACCTGGGGTTAGGGTACAGTGGCATCATGGTAGCTCACTGCAACCTCAAACTCCTGGGCTCAAGCAATCCTGCCTTAGCCTTTGGAGTAACTGGGACGACAGGCGTGCGCCACCACGCCCAGCTAATTTTTCCATTTTTAGTAGAGATGGGGGTCTCACTCTTGCTCAGGCTGGTCTCAAACTCCTGGGCTCAAGCAATCCTCCTACCTGGGCCTCCCAAAGTGCTAGGATTACAGGCATGAGCTACCACACCTGGCCTGTTATTGAGGATGTTGCCCACTAAATCACACAGTATCTGTTTGGGAGAGCCCGTAGAAGAGATTTTACCCTGGTCTTCATACCAAGGGATGCCATTCTTAGGAGAAACTAGTTTGGTTTTGTTTTTCAAACATAATTGCGAATTTTGTTATTGGTTCCGTTTTCCTCTTTACTGAGACCAGGACCTTAGCCTTAGGTGTAAGCATTTTTGTGTACTAAACTCCCAGGTTTTATTCTGTTTTCTTTTCCTTCCTCTTCCTGCCCCTTGTTCTTTCCTCCAGATGCATAAGATGCATGACCTATTTACCATTGGCAGCGGCGAGGCCATGTTGCAGCTCATCCCTCCTTTCCATTGCCGAAGACACTGCCAGTCTGTGGCCCTGCCAGTGGAGCCAGGGGATGTTGGTATGTAGGGCCCCAGGAGGGCAGGTCAGCCATGGGATCTTTTTAGTTTTTAACTCAAAAAATATTTTAAGAATCAAGTACTGCCTTCACAGAGGTTCTATTATGTAGACTCAAAAATAGCATTCTTTTAGTAACAGGGTCATTGTTTGTGCTTAGAAATGGAACTAATGAGAAAATGTAGTGTAGAGAAATGTCTTGAACTTACAACATTTAGAATGTATGTGTCTGGTCATAGAAACTTCAAGTTAGAAGGGATTCTGGAAAATATTTAGACCAATCCACCGTTTTACAGATGAGGAAGTCAAGACCCAGAAAGGAGAGGAGACCATCCCAAGGCCCCACCATCAGTCATACAAAGCATTGAGTCTTAAGCATCTGAATGAAGTCAAGCCAGGAGAGGGACAACTAAAGATTAGAGGAAGCCTCTTATGTACCCATCTTGCAAATTAACAATAGAACAGTATATAAGGACAGTGGTCACACAAGGAAATGTTACCTTCCGTGTGGGTCCCATAGCCCAAGTCACAGCCTCATATTGATGACTCACCCTTAGCTCTGGCTCCATGCTTTCCCAGCTATGACTTTCCTGTGCCTTATATCCTAAAAATCTGTTCCAAAGAAACAAGTTTGAATCAACTGCTGTCAGTAGCAATTAGCTTGACAGCAGAGTTTTCTTGGCAGAAGCAAATAAATCAGACAGCGTCACCATTGAGCTCCTTGTTTTTCCTGTCTCACAAAATCCAAGTAAGACCTGGAGACCTTGGCAGAGCCCAGACTGGTTTTCTAATTGATTTGTTTTACTTCTACCCATTCCGAAGACCCCTGAATTCCTGGAAACCTCTCACCTTATTGGAGGCTTTGAGTTTGCAGTTTGCTTTAATCCAAGTTAAATAACTTATTTCAGTTTAGAAATGAAAAATAGTAATGTACAAATCAAGCATTAACTAATAATGGAGCACAGTTGGCCTGGCCCTTGGGCAATTCTTGCAAAAAAGAGGATTCCTGTATGGAAATTGTTCTGAACCTATTTTCCTGGAGCGCAGTGACTCTCACACCGGGGTGACTATTGCAAAAGTCTGTGTGGCATGTTTGGGTTTGGAGTGTGTGATTCGGATTGAACAAGTTTCTGTCTTATGTTCTACAAATACCTAACAGTTCAGACAACTGCAGAAACACTTAGTTATCCAAACTCCAGATGACCAGCTCCCACAAGCACCCAGAATGCCGATTACAAAAAAAAAGGCGTCTGGCAGTCATGAAGGAAGCCTTGAGCATTAAATGCTGGTGCAGATAGTCCAGGGTAACCTGAGATGCTGAGGGGGGCACCTGCCGTGCTGTGACGAGCCTGCTTGGTGACCAGAAGGAAAGGAGCCCTGTGGTTAGCAGCATCTGCGACAGGCCAGCCACGTGACAGCAGCATGGAGAAGGGAGGGGAGACTGCAGAGAAGAGGAGGGCAAGTCTGAGAGAAGGGAGGGGTGTGGAGGCCAGCGGGCACCTGAAGCAGCGGCAGAAGTAGAAGTAATGGCTGCAGTTCCCACGCTTAAAAATGAGGACAGGAAAGCAGACCCTGACAGTGAAGAAGAATTCAGTGGTTAAAGGACAGATGGCAGCTCCGGTACCTAGGGACCCTTAAGAGTGGCATTGCGACAAGCAGGTTTTATGATTTTTTTTTTTTTTTTGAGAC